TTCTTCTTCTTCTTCTTCTTCTTCTTCTTCTTCTTCTTCTTCTTCTTCTTCCTCTCTCTCTCTCTCTCTCTCTCTCTCTCTCTCTCTCTCTTTCTCTCTCTCTCTCTCTCATTTTGAAGGCTCAAAATTGTGACTCTCCAGCCTCAGCCTCCCTAATAGCTGGAGGACAGGCATGAGGCATGGGGCCTGACTTTCCTCCTGTCCAGTTTCAAATGAGGCTTGACATGTGTAAAAATCGCCTTATGTGTTCTTTCTTTTTTCTTCTTTTCTTTTTGGCACTGGGGTTTAAACCCAGGGCCTTTGAGTGGAGCTGCACCCTGCATCCCTATTTATTTATTATTTTTTATGGGTATTAAACTCAGGCCCTTGCCCTGGCCAGGGAAGCACTTATTCCACTGAGCCATCTCCCCTGCCCATATTGTTCTTTTCTTTTCTTTTTTGTTTTGCAGAACCAGGAATTGAACTCAGGCCCTTGCGCTTGCTAGGCAAGTGCTTATTCTGCTGAGCTATCTCCCCGCTCCCCCCCACCCCTGTTCTTTTCATTTGTCTTTTGTTTGTTTTCTCTCTCTCTCTCTCTCTCTCTCTCTCTCTCTCTCTCTCTCTCTCTCTCTTTTCCCATGTATTTAGTACAGGGTGTACAGGGTCTCACTACACAGATTGGACTCATAGTGATCCTCCGGTTTTCAGCCTTCCAAGTGCTGGGACCGCTGTCTCAGCGCACCCTGGGGGAGGGGGGCAGCACAGCAGGCTGAGGATGGAATCCTGGCCCCTGCGTCTGTCTAAGCAGGCGCTTTATTCCGCTAAGCTATTTAGCTGGCCATTGTCTTGGTTTTTTGAGACAGGGTCTTGCTATGTAGTTCAGGCTGGCTTAAACTTACTGTGCATCTCAGGCTGTCTTCGAACTCATGTCAGTCTTCTTGTGTTAGCCTCCAAATGCTGGGGTTATAGGTGTGGGCCACCCTGCTCAGCTATTTTTCATTATTTTTTATTTGTTGGTGTGTTTCTACCCTAGAGTCTCAGCTCAGTAAGGCAAGAACCCAATTGGTCCCTCTTGCAGAAAGGTTGAGGCTTTAGCCACTCGGCCCTCCAGCGCCCTAAGCAGGAGGCCCCCTGAGCCCCAACACCCATATCTGTCAAGGGACCGCAGCAGTGTACAACGGCAGGGTTGATGTGAGGACAGAAGGAGTCTGAGCAGGAATAGGCTCACAGTAGGAGCTCCGGGAGCGCAAAGCCGCTGCTGCCCCAGGTGGCGCACACCTGTCATCCAGCGCCCGGAGGCTGATGCAGGAGGATTGCTGTGCGTTCCAGGCCAGGCTGCGTCACATAGTAAGTTCAAAGCCTGGGCTATACCGTGAGAGGCCTCTAAAACAAATGTGAATGTGAGTGTTTTTGCCTCACCTGTACCCAGGGAAGAATTAGGAAGAGTCCAGAGCCGCTCCAGGCAACTCTCCTGCCACCCCACAACCCCTCCCACTCCAACAGGCCAGGACTGGGGGTTCCACCCCTGGCCCGGCTCTGCCTGGCACTGCAGCAAGTGAGGCCTGCCCGGGCGGCACCCACCCAGCCGGTTGGGGCTGCGCCCGGGCCCACAGTGCTGCGCGGCTCTCGGCGCCCACTCTGCAGCCGGCTCTGTGCCTCCCAGAGAGGGAAGAAGCCCCGGGGGCTGCACCCAACCTTCAGGAGCCAGAAGGCTGCAGTGGGGCTCCCCAGTCCAGCTCCACAGTCCTGAGATTGGACTTGGCCAGGAGCAGCTAGGCAGGGATTGGGGGTCTCTGACACACCCCCACAGCTGTCTGCCACACCCACCTAGGGAGATGGCTTCCCACAGGTTAACAATTCTGACAGCTAGAGTTGGACAAGGAAGCGATTTTTTAAAAATTTTATTTATTTTGTGTGTGTGTGTGTGTGTGTGTGGCCAGCTCAGCTCACTAGGGGACGGGGCTGGCTGGCATGTGGTGCTGGGGGATTGAACCGCCGTCCTTGTGCTTTGCTTAGCTTGTTCTAAGTAGGTGCTTTAGACCACTGAGCCATCTCACCAGCCCAAGGAAACATTTTTTTTTTTTTTTTCTACTGGGGATTTTACCCAGCCTGAAGCTTGGCCGGCCCTTTTTTTTTTTTTTTTGTGGAGCCGGGGATTGAACTCAGACCCTTGCGCTTGCCAGGGAAGCGCTTATTCCATTGAGCCATCACCCTGGCTCTCCCCCCATTTTATTTTATTTATTGGTTTGTGTATTTAGCTTTGATTTTTTTTTTTTTTTTTTTTTTTTTTTTTTTTTTTTTTTTTTTTTTTTTTTTTTTGTATCAGGAATAGAACTCAGGACCTTGGGCTTGCCAGATAGTAGCTGTGCCACTGAGCTATAGCCTCCATTCTTGTTTTGATTTTAGATGGAGTCTCACTATGCAATCCAGCTTGGCCTCAAACTCACAGTGATCCTCCTGCCCCGGCCTCCCGAGTGCTGGGAGACTGAAATAGAGGAGAAAGGACAAATATTCCTTACAGATGAATATCAGTGAATAAACATGGAATGAATGATGAAAATAGAGAATCACAGCCAGCTTCCTGGCAGGCAGAATCTACTAACAAATGACAAGTTGTGGCCCATTTTGATCCCAGCCTGGGACACATAGCAGTTCTGCCTCACTCGGGACACAGCTCAGTTGTACAGCAATTGTGTGGCTTGTGAGCCACACTGGAGGCCTGGATTCTTCTTCCAGTACTGCAAACAGCAGCAAACAACCCCCCCAGCTTAGTCAGTAGAATAAGCACTTCCCTGGCAAGCACAAGGGTCTGAGTTCATTACCTGGTTCTGCAAATTAAAAAAAAAAGAACAAAACCCCCAGACTGGCATGGAGGGCAGGCCTATGATCCCAGCTCTTGGGAAGCTGAGGCAGGAAGATCCATGAGAGTGCTAGACCAGGCTGGGTTACACAGTGAGGCCTTGTCTC